GTTTCCTGGTCCGCGACGAGTAATAAGCGCAATAACCTCGTTCCTCCAAGCCGTGGCCTGACCTAGACAAGGACAGACCATAAGAGCTTGTAGTGATAACGAGTGAATGACCCATAGCTCCGACTGTCTCGGGTGATGGGTTTAATTGGGCATCCAAAACTTTCGGCAACTAAACTTGTTGAAGTTGAGACAGGGTTTCGTTGAATGAGTTGGAATGCGCCTATTCATTTTTTTGGCCATCTGCATAGCTTTGCATGGGATCTCGTCCACTCTGATGATTAATAGCAAAACCAATAATCTGGATCATAGCGCGTTGCCACTGAAACGCATATTTGCATAAGCTCCAATTAATAAGTTGGATGATGCATCTCAAGGTCATGCTCGTTCCGCATCTCACTGTCTCCCTACTCCCGGTCTTGCTTGTTTCAAGATGTTATTTAGTTTCCTGAACATGTGTTCACGAATGAGCAGTCATCCCAGCCAGTTAATTTTGCCCATCCTAGCCTAAATGCTTTCATTTAGAATCTTCATCATTTTCTTTCGAATTTCAGAATGCTTTTGATGTAAAGATATACGAGTTAATGGTAAGAACAACTATTAAAGAGGCAGACAATCTTGCGCGCACTGTAAAGGCCTGCGAAGAGGATGACTATAACTACCTGATAATTTCTCCTGAATTTAAACAGGTGAGCTAGGTAACACAAAACGCGTATTAATGTTGAGCTTATCCAATCGATTTTTTCACACTATGAATTTCATCCCCATGCTTACATTAACGTTTTCATTACCGCTTAACATATTTACCATTATTCCCGCCTAGACTTGTAAGTCCGCTGTACAGTTCCTGTTGGTATGTACTACTGGCTGGTTTCATATACACAATGATATATTTAAGACAGCTGGTTAGAGTGCAGAATTACTTAGTAGAAACTAGAAGTAAAATTACTTTGGCGTATGCGGTACAATTTGAAGATACTAGGCCGTGCGTCAAAAACCCGCACGTGTGCACGTAGGTACTTTGCCGCCCAAAAGGATTAGCGCAGGGGGTTAAGTTATTTAAACCCTAGCAACTGCAATCTTCAGGCCAGGTTCCTTAAAAGAAGAGGAGTCATGCGGAAGCCAGTGTGGTAGGAAGGGTATATGTTGTGCAGAATAAATGGAAGGATAGACAGTAGAAAATTGACTGCCGGTCGTCCGCACACCCACAAGCCAGCGGACGGGGTCTAAAGTGATGTCTGCTCGACAGCCGTCACATGAGGTCCTGTGTGAGTCGGTCTGCGATTGGCTGTTTGCGAAGCCGGGGAGCAGCAAGCGTTCTCCAAAGTGCACTTCGACTTGAGCTTGTCACGACAGGCGCTCACAAGTGCACTTTGTGTGGAACCAGTCACTACAGGGTCACACGGTAGATGTGCTGAACCA